ACTTGGTTCAAGAGAAAAGATTAGAAATTAGTCAGAATCGTGTATATGGTTAAATTTCTCAATAGATAATTAGTAATTACTGTGTTATAATATTAAAACTAATTAATATAAAATATAATAATGATTTTGTTAGAGATACATAATAGGATACTGGAAGAAACATTAAGTAACAAAATAAAAAATGTTCTATCGGGGTAAGTAAAAGTGCTTAGTTTTTTAAGGTCAAGATATTTTGTACATTTTTAAGATAAAGTTAGGGATTACAAGTTTGGGCGGTGTCCGTTTCAAATATTATTGATGTTTATTCTAGCAAAATAATTAATATTTAAATATATGATAGATTTCTTTTAAAATTAAAACAAACAATTTTAAATTTCAGACCATTTATTTGCATTATGTAGAACAAGTGTTTATATAAAATATGATGTTTATAATATTTGATCTTTTGTTTTAATATTTTTATAAAATTATTTTAATATTATATTTCAATATTTCAAGTAATCACTACATAAAAATAATACATAATTAAAATTCATAAAAGAAATTTATGCTATTATTAATTAATTAATCTTTTTCTATTATTAATTTATAATTTTGAATTCTATATATTTAATGTAATTAAAATATATCTTTGTAGTCATAAACCAGAATCCACAGATGTTGTTATAGCAGATTTTGATGGAGTTTTATTTCATATTTCTAACTTAAGTGGTGACAAGTCAAAAATTAGAGTAAGTTTGAAAAATTTGATCATTGCATAATAAATTTTAAACTAATTTCTATAATAATAAAATATACATATTATTCATTATTTAATTACAATAACGGTATGTAACAGTTATTATTTAAATTCATGTAAAATATTTTTATTTTTTTGCTTATTATCGTTTCATTTTCCAACTTTTTTTAGTTTTCTTTCGAGAATTTTTTGTTATATTAATTATCGTCGGTTATTATTTTATGAGAAATTGTGCTGAAATTTTCATAGGTGTCTTTATTTGTAACGTTACTATGTGAAATGTGGCATTTTTTAAATGTACAGTTTAAATCTAGGAAAAGAGAAAAATAGACATAATTTATGAATTATAAAAAGCAAAATTTAAAAGTTATTAATAAATAAATATAAAAATTTTATATAATTAATTATTATATTATTAATATTATTTAATCGGAACATGAATCTGCTATATCAATTTAATACTAATAATGTAATTTTATTGATAAATATTCTTAATCTTTTTTATTTTAAATTGATATAAATTTTTATAAAACTAACATAGTAGTAATACTTCTATATCATTCTGTATTGTGAAACTAGTAACTTAATTGTAACTAGTTTAACATAGTAATTGATTGTTACATTTTTTAAATTTAATTGATAAAATGTTTGTTCATGAACTACACATTTTTATGAAATAGAAGTAATTAAAACATAGAAATTTGAATCCTTGAATAAAAAGTAACGTATAATGTATATTGTCCAATAAATCAATTGCTATTGGTAGTGGTATAACATAACTTATAGTTGGGTAACCTGGCTATGTTAAACCTGCGATCACTTGGTTCAAGAGAAAAGATTAGAAATTAGTCAGAATCGTGTATATGGTTAAATTTCTCAATAGATAATTAGTAATTACTGTGTTATAATATTAAAACTAATTAATATAAAATATAATAATGATTTTGTTAGAGATACATAATAGGATACTGGAAGAAACATTAAGTAACAAAATAAAAAATGTTCTATCGGGGTAAGTAAAAGTGCTTAGTTTTTTAAGGTCAAGATATTTTGTACATTTTTAAGATAAAGTTAGGGATTACAAGTTTGGGCGGTGTCCGTTTCAAATATTATTGATGTTTATTCTAGCAAAATAATTAATATTTAAATATATGATAGATTTCTTTTAAAATTAAAACAAACAATTTTAAATTTCAGACCATTTATTTGCATTATGTAGAACAAGTGTTTATATAAAATATGATGTTTATAATATTTGATCTTTTGTTTTAATATTTTTATAAAATTATTTTAATATTATATTTCAATATTTCAAGTAATCACTACATAAAAATAATACATAATTAAAATTCATAAAAGAAATTTATGCTATTATTAATTAATTAATCTTTTTCTATTATTAATTTATAATTTTGAATTCTATATATTTAATGTAATTAAAATATATCTTTGTAGTCATAAACCAGAATCCACAGATGTTGTTATAGCAGATTTTGATGGAGTTTTATTTCATATTTCTAACTTAAGTGGTGACAAGTCAAAAATTAGAGTAAGTTTGAAAAATTTGATCATTGCATAATAAATTTTAAACTAATTTCTATAATAATAAAATATACATATTATTCATTATTTAATTACAATAACGGTATGTAACAGTTATTATTTAAATTCATGTAAAATATTTTTATTTTTTTGCTTAAAATTTTGATGTCATTTTTTCATACTTTATTAATGTATTTAATTTTCTTACAGATAAGTATTTTACTTAAATTTTACAAACAATTACAAGAACATGGAGCTGATGAATTACTCATACGTGAATATGGACCTTACCTTATAGCTCCTGAAAATGGTAAATAAGTTAAATGAATTTGAAATAGTTATAACTATTATTTACAAATTATTAAATAAGATGTTGATATTTCTATTTGTAGGTTACAATGTTTCTGTATTGATAGATTTGGAAAATTTACCTGAAGATTGGGAATCGTTAGTTAAAAAAGTTGCACTTTTAAAAAGACATTGTTTTGCCAGTGTTTTTGAAAAGTATTTTGACTTCCAAGAAGAATACTATGATTCACCGGGTACCCAGTTGCAAAAAAGGGCAGTTATTCAATATAGAGATGAAGAAACAATGTAAGAATGTTTTTATTTTGTAATAGTATATGAAAAGATAAACAATATCTATTAATCTCTACATATTTTATGTAAAGGTATGTTGAAGCCAAAAGTGATAGGGTAACAGTGGTATTTAGCACAATATTTAAAGATGAAGATGATATGGTTATTGGAAAATTATTTTTACAAGAATTGAAAGAAGGCAGGCGTGCAAGTCATACAGCTCCACAAGTTTTATTTAATCATCGAGAACCACCATTAGAATTACAGGATTCTGAGGCAGCGGTTGGAGACTGTATTGGATACATTACATTTGGTAAATATTAATTTAATTATGTTAAAATTATTAAAAATATAAAAAGTACAAAAAAAATAATATAATTTACATATTCACCTATCTTTGTTATTACATTTTTTTTGTAGTATTATTTCCTAGGCATACAAACAGGGAAGCCCGTGATAATACAATTGATCTAATACACATGTTTAGAAATTATTTGCATTATCATATTAAATATAGTAAAGTTTATATTCACTCAAGGATGCGCACCAAAACAACAGACTTTTTAAAAATATTAAATAGAGCAAGATCTCAATCCAAAAATACTGAGAAGAAAACCATTACGTAAGTCGTTTCAAAATTATTTATTGCGTAATGTACTGAAATAATAAATTTAAAACTATATTTTTCAGAGGTCGGACATTCATCAGGAAGGAATGAGTGTAAACATAAAATTATATTCCTTATATTGTTTTAATAAAGGATAAATGACAAAGTTCTCATTTATCTCATAAATTTGCTAGAAATTTTTTGATCTTCTGGCAAGAAATATTGTTTGTAATGAAAGATTCTAATTCATCAAATTAATGAGTTAAAAAGTCTTATCACTCATTGTCTTTAAACAGTACAATGTTCTTTAAAAAGGTTTATATTGCTGTAAACATTCTTAAATATGTGTGCAGCAAGAAAATGCATGATTAAAAAGTCATTTTATATTGAAATTCTCAAAGTAATTACAAGAGTGCATAAAGTCTTCGAAAAAATCAGGGAATACATAGTCTGTTTGTGAATAAAGTTAAAAAATATCTTCTGTTTTTCTACATTTACACATAATATGTGATCTTAACACTATTCATTGTTATGATCAAAAATACATAACCGCATATACTATTTTTTTAAACATATTTTATGTTTATTACTTTCACAAAAATTGTCATTTCCTATAAATTCCACGTAGAACAAAAATGTTTAAAATAACAAAAAATACGTGGATTTTATAAAATAATATACTGATGTATTATTTGTATGTTTAATAACATAGCACTGTCTTTTTTTGATAAATTATTTTCATTAGCTATATTTTATTGTCTCTCTTATTAACGTATAATTGTAAGATAATAAAAGTATTAATTCTATATTATAAGTGATATAATTATCAGACCTTTGGTTGTACTAATCAAAAATGTTGATATGGTTACTATGAAAATTAGTACTATTGATTTGTAATTAGCAAATGGATGTAAGGGTTGGATAACAAGATTAAGGTGAAAACTAGGGAGTGCCAAACAGGGGTGTTCATTAATAACCACACCTCTTTATTTAACACACACACACACACACACACACACAAACAAGCTACAGTATGTGCCTCTTAGAATTTCAGTTATATGTACTTTGTCATACAGTATTCACACACATTCCATTTAAAACTTCATTGTATTAATTATTTTTATAATTAAATGAAAACAAATTGAAGTCTTCAATGTTAATACGGATTCTGTTACGTTCTTTTTAATATGTAAGTACTATAAATTACTACAATAATTTTGATTATAATTAGGATGTATAAATATATACTAATGTGATATTAATATAAATTTTTAAACAAAATACTCTGTTGATAGTGTTCTAAAACAAATTTTATATTGTCTTGCACTACTTTTTTTTAGATATAAATTCGTTTAGTCTAATTGAGAATTACTTATATAATTATACATAGTATAGAATATAATTATGTGATTAATATTATGAGAAAACAAAATCAAATAATAATGATTTACTAATGACATGTATGTTCTTTCAAAAAACTTCTTGCTTTTTAAAAAATTTATTTAAGTGATTGAAACTTTTCAGTTATTAATTATGAAGGAAATGGATGAACCAACTATTAAGTCAAGTTTATCTTCATCTTTTTCACCTTGTTCACCTAATGAAATAGCAATACAACCTGGAGACTGTGTTGAAGGTGGAGTTGAAAAATGGTTGGAAGATGAAGCATTACCAGGATTTCGAGTTTGGCAACTTGCTGGCATAATTCTTTCTATTTTACTTAGTGTACTGATTGGACTTTGTTGTTGCTTCCGATTCAGAGTGCCACGAACTAAACAAGAAATAGAGGCAGATTATATTCGAAAAAAAATAACAGAAAGTTTTAGACATGAATTATCTAAAATTAGTAATACAGAAATGGATGACATGGATTTAAAGAAAGGTAAAAAAGTTCAATTTAAAGCAAGCTGTACTTAATATAAAGAAAATACTTCAAAAATTCATTTATTTATTCTGTTTATCATTCCAATTAACTCTAATACACATAACTGTTCTTCATTATTAGCATTAAGCAAAATTCAAAATAAATTTGATATGGAAATTCATGAGGTACAAAGAAATGAGGAAGCAACACATAAAAATATACATGGATTACGATCAAGATTTAATGCAATTTTTAGTGGAGTTCATTTTATTAAACAAGTAAATTCTAATACTGATAACATAATTTAATAAATTTGCAAATTACTATGTTATTATATAAAATTGATATTATGAAGTACTATATTCATGATTATGGCTAATTTTTTCAAATAATAATATTGCAATCATGTTTCAAATTAGAGTTTATAATAATTACATTGGATATTCATTGTAATGAAATGTAAGAAATATAGTATATTAAACACATTAAGTAAATTCTATACAGCATTAATTGACTAAATATAATCTTTATTTTATGAATACAATACAGAAATTAAGTTATCTTACATGCAACAATAATCTATAGCAAAAGATAATACATTTTAGAAAGCACTTAATAGGACTAATGTATATTACCTACCACATTATGTTTTATTTACTTATATTATTAGATGGTTAGTATTGTTAAACGTGCAAATTCTCCTCTGTTGTTAAATAAAATAAATCTTTACAAATTATTTATAATTTAAATGAAACGTTATTCATAAAATAAAAAATAATCACAATACAAATTTTTTATTTTCATTAATAATTAAAGGTTACTATCATGTTTGCCTTTAAATGATGTTAATATTGGTATATTTAAAAAGTCAAATCATTTTATATGAATTAAAAACAAAACTTTTTAGATACACTATAGTTCTTATTGTCAGGGAAATTCTCTCTTTCTCTTCTTAAAAAAAAAAAAAGAAAAAAAGAAAAAAATTCTTATATGCTACATATGCATTTAGATAACTATAAAATTATTTACCATTATAATCTTAATAATAATTTTTGGAAACATAATAAAATAAAATTTAACAGAATATAGATATTCGTAAAACGTATTTATTAATTGACAAATGTAAAATAAATAATATAATTGAATCAGACGTAAGTTTGTAAATGAATGTTTAGAATTGATTTTATGGAGGAAATATTAATACGAGAAACAAGTAACGGAAAAAATAACAAAATATAGATTCTTTCAATAAAAATCTGAGTATTCAAAAAAATAAATTTAATAAAAGTTAAACTTTAATTATCTTTTTAGAAATAGGGATTTTTCACAGATATAAACAACATTTCTCACAGAGAAATAAAAGTTTTAGAAGAAATATGATTTGTCACATGTACATACATCGCTCGCACATAATATTTTACACGCACGCATATAGGAATGATTTAATTAATCATAGTATTTTAACTACCTTAATGCTTTTTCCACTTTGTAAACTGAATCTAAATTAATTTAGTAAGGAAATCGATATTAGGTTTAGAAAGAATTTATCTAAGTTCTCAACATTATACTGGTGTATTGTTTTTCATATTTTTAATAATATCACATATAGTAGTTATTCACATGGAATATTTTAATTATACTCTGACAAAAGTTACGACATTAAAAAGTCTAATACCTTTAGAAGCACATATGGATCAATTAGTTTTGTTTTAGAAATAATATAAATTGTTTTACAATAAAACAATGTTTGAATTTAAAAAAAATTTTGTTTGTGTAAGATATAGCGATAAAAGAAATATATTTAAATAATTATAATTAATGATAAACTTTTTACTCAAAAAATATTTTTTGCTATAAATTTTTTTCGAGTAATCTTTCTTTTTTAGAGAAAATTATTTACGATATATTTATAGAATTATAAGTTTAAAAAGTGTAAAATATTATAAAAGTAAATTTAATAAAACTACAAATATATTTCATTTGAAGCTAAATTCATATTTTTGCACGATCCATATTTTTGATTTTTCTAAAATTAATTTTTATGAGTAATATTGCTATAAGTAGACGACATTATAAGAGAATTTTTTACGTGGAATAAGGATAGTTGTTTCATTCTACCTATAAATTAATAAATTGTAAGAAAAACTTCATGGAATAGAGCAGAGGTCGGCAACGTTGGATTCGTGGACAGTGGATGCCCGCGAAGTATTTTTAAATATCCTTAATATACAAAATATTAAAGCGTCGAGGAGTCTACAAATTTGTAATTAAGTATAACAGAAGTCGACAGTTAATGTAACGTAATAATTTATTATTAATGAAATTAAAGTACGGTACTCTTTATCTTAAATCTGCCATTCCGGGTGCTTTTTTTAATGGAAGGTTGCCGACTTCTAGATTAGAAAATTCAATAGAATCGTAATGTACAATATAGACATCTTCAAAGAATTTAAATTTTCGTTGTACATTGTGCAAAACGTTTCCATAGAGTGAAGGAACTACTTATGTTTTTAAAATTTATCTGCATGCGGTCTTTCAGTATGATCCTATTTATAGTAAGAAAGAGGTATAGACTGACTGACATATAAGTGTAACGATGACAGGATACCTCTAATTGATGAAGATTGGGAACTCACTACGAGGTAAAAGGTTTTCATAGAGCTTGACCAAATAGCATTTAATTGTGCTACAAGACCACTAACAACAATTGCGCTATAAGATCATTAGCAACAATTGTGCTAAGTGATCTACTTAAGCGTACCTTCACGAAATTTTGTTTCTCCACCACGAAAATTTCATTTTCGGGCTTAAGTATTGAAAGCTGATGACTGTTTGTGGTATCAACGATAAGATTGGTAAAAAATTTCCGCAGCTTCGACTTTTTGGTTCATCATCTAGTGGTTCTGTTACAGTTTCGCTCATAATGTTATGGTGAGGCGTGGAATACGGATACGGTGTTGAAAGTGGATTACAAGTAATATGTACCTCTCCCATATTCCATTTATTTTTTCTATCATTCGAGTTATTTCCTTGAGCCATTCCCGAAAGACACGAAAAAGGTACCTGTTTATCTGTGGAGGTGATGGAACAATTAGAAATATTAATTATACGACTCTCTGATGTCAAAACATTACTTTTACGATGATTGAGTACACTGTGATCTAGCATAGCATTTGATAAATTCATTGATTTTAAAGATGTTTTTCTGTAGACTTTTGATCGTATGACAGGTTTAATTGTTAATTGTGGTGATGATACTGATCGCACAGAGTAGGAATTAGTACCTCTATTAATATCCATGTGATTTTGTAGTAGATGACAGTCGTTACTGTTTGTATTTAGACATTTATCTTTTATAGATACATTGGGATTGATGGATTGAAGTGTGGATGTAATTACTGGACTTGTAGGTGTTATAACATTGTTTTCTTGGGTAATTATAGAACTTTGTATAGTGCACTCATTAAGATTTGTTTCATTATTATGTTTTATATATTGAGTAGGTACAAGATCATGTTTTTTGTAAATATTTGCAGGTTTTAATATACGTTTTATAGATTGATTATGTCTGTTTATGTCATTTATGGATTTGGACAAAGAAAAGGAAGTTTGAGAAAGGGTAGAATTATTAATAAGCGCTTCATTTGTTCCTAACTGATTAGGTCCGAATGAAGCGTCCATGAACCCTCAGCTTGGGAATCTTGAATAAAATGCACAAGTCAAATCATAATTCTTAAAACGGCAATATTGCACATCTGTACGCAGCCAATCACCAGAACATTTTAGATAATCAGTTTGCTCTAAATCACGTGGACAACTAGCAGCTATTGATTCTTTGTTAGCGAAGATGGTTACAACAAATTTTTTTGGTTTGAAAGTATTCAGTACACGTCGTATTATTTCCTCATATGATGTTTCTGGAATGTTACTTTCAAATGAGACATATGAAAATTCAGGCTCTGGTGTTATGTGAATAGTCATGTAATTTCCCTGTAAAATATGTATAATTACAGTTATATGTATTTTTCATATGATGTAAACTTTTTACTTTCTACTATGAATACTTACATTTTTAGATACTCCATTCATTGAATATCCACAAGGTTCAAACAAAAAATCATCTATAATCATATTTGGAATAAGTTTGTCAATTCCTGATTTTTGAGTTGCTTCATCTGCAGAAGAGCATACATCTCTAGTGAAAAGAGCCATTACTTCTGGATCTAAATGAGTCATTAAAATTTCTAGTGTTTGATCTGGTTCTGAGGGTTCATCAACAGATTTCTCTTTATTCAAAGTATATAAATACCAACAATCTGAATCTACAGAGCCTAAACAGTAAGCTTCTCCAGCTAAAAAAAAATATTACAATTTACATTGATTTAAAAATTTTCATTTGTTCTAAATGTAGTATCTTCTTTAATAATATTGTCAAATTTGAAGATATTGGCATAAAAAATATTGTTACCAGGAAAGAATGTATCAAGCAAAGCAACTTCTTCTTCAAATGCTTGATGTGGAGATATTTGCAATTCTGGTTTTTTGTAATTTTTTCGTGAATAAAATACATTCTGAAACAATTGTAATTTTGTATAACCTGAATTTTAGTTTTTTTCTATTTTGTTAAAGGAATAAATCACTTAATCATATATGATAATGAGATAAAATTAATTGGAATATATATTGAAAGATACTGTAAAATTAGAAACATTAAATTAGAGATGATTTTGGACAAATATATTTTCATATACTATATCATGAGTAACAGAGATCAATAAACCAAGAGGTAGAGATGTATCCTGTATACTAGAGGTTTCCTATATATAGGTACATCACTTATCCATGCACTAGGTCAAGTTATATAGCTAAGTACTTTCAACTTCAACTGATTTGCAATAATTATTTAATTAGATTAGATTAGTCATTTTTAATATTTTCTTTCATTAAGATGCAAGATAATATTTTTTCAATAAAGAACTTTGAGCATATTTTCTAAGTTTAACAATTAATTAACAGATTTCTTCCAATAATAATAAAATTTTTCAACCTAATATATAAATATTTTTGTACATTAAAACAATTTTATACCTCTACTTCTTCAAAGCCAGTATATTCTTTTACTAGTTCCAAAAGGGGTTCCAAACATTGAAGAGGAGTAGTTGTACCACATGTTTTCAGAATAAGTCTACGCTTTGATAGGAACATGCTGCTTTCACTGTAAAATAATTTGTATTTATGTAATTTCATATTTAATTCACTACAATTTATTATTTTTATTTACAAGCAAAAAAATTGTTCATTGTTTATATATATTATTAACTGTTAAGTAGTTTCATGTAATGGATGAATACCTTTAGTTATAATATTCAAATTTGTGCAATAGAATTTATTCTTTTATTGCAATATTTTAACTGATTGTATAATAAACTAGTTTTGTCTGCAGAATTATTTTGAATTAAGTATAAAATTAATTAAAGTTTATTCAATATAAATTTAAATATATTTTGAACAAGATTTAAAATAAAAGAGATTGAATACAATGTACATATATTTTTCATTTTTAGTAGAATTCTATATCATATACTAAATTATTTTTATGAGAATTTACTGCAAATATCTTTATTTTAATCAAAACTTGTATAAGAATCTATAAAATACTTGTAATGCATACATTTTATATACAATAAATATGGAGGATGTTTCATATTAATTTTCCCAGGTAAATATCTTGGAAATATTGCAGATATAGAATAATCTTTCAAATTAAAATACTAGGATATCAAAAGAAAAGATCGTGCTGACATTTTGTTACTTACTTATAGAGCCTTTCAAGGTCATTGTAAAAATTGAATAAATGTCAACATGATATGTCTGCCTTGATATCCTACAATTTTCCATACAGCTTTCATATCAGCTATATTTTCCAAAATACTTGTCTAAATTATCATGAAGTGATAATAAAACTATATACAGTTTCTTAAATTAAAATAATTCTTTGTAAAAAATAACATAAATATAATATTATTTCAGTACGAAAAAAATGTGATAATTTTGTATCATGTTCATTACAAACCGATGTTATTGGTATACAATAATTTGAAATATTAATATATAATTATGTAATTGATCATGTACATTTAATTGTATAAAGTAATATTTCAGGTTGAACTACGAAATTTACGTTATTACGTCTTTTCGTATGTCATCATCGTTAATCAATATTTCAGAGAAGTAATGACGACATAATGCACGTGCTTAGCTAAACTTAGAATTTACTATAAGTTTTTCATTTTCCTTTATTAAATATAATTTTAAAAATTGAACATGTGAAAATATGAAAAAGAAATAAAAAGAAACTACACACAGAAATAACATTAAATAATATAGTTAAAAAAATTTTAAGCATTTTACTGAAATTATTTTATTTTCTTCTTAGTGAACTTTTTCAGTCGAAATAATGAATTGAAGGTTATTAAAGAATGAAGGTTATTATAAGATATTTACTTGGCTTCTACTGTAAAATTATTTTTAGTTTCAGATCTAGATGGTATTAGGTACAAATGAAGTTAAGTCAAAATATGCTTATAATATTTCGTAAAATATTTAATATAATTCCTGTGACGATAATTAAAATCAAAAATATATATAATACTTTGATTTACAAGAAAATTTAATTGTGCTCTTTGTTAATTTGTGTATCATTGTAAAATATGACTTCCTCAATTCATAAATTCAATGAATTCAATTATGAATGTTCACAACTTCTAAAAAATCCCATGAATTAAAAAAATTACTTAAAAATTAAAAATTAAAAAATTATAAAATTGTGCTTCTATAAAATGCTACGACTATCGCGATTTCTTCTAGAATTGACTATATATTATTTAAGGGTTATCGTCAATATTTCGTATAGACATTGACCCTAGATTTTCTGAATACAAATGTACGATAAATGAAATACACGAGTCATTTTAACCGAAACGAAATGTGACGATAAGCAAAGATAAAATGGTACACTTAGCAGACAAGATAATTATAATATCGATTTTAATATGATAAATTTCAAATGTAAATAAATAAAGTATTAATTTTTTTCTGAATATAGATTTCGTATTGATTCCCAAATTTCATACGGATTTATCACATTATTTTTCATAAGTTTCCTTTGCACTAGATGCTTTGAAATTCTTGATCTTATTTTATGAGAAATTTATATAGTATCATATCACGTTACATATATTATTTTAATTATTAAATTAAAAATATAAAATTTAAAATTTTCATTTTATTTTTTCTGCATATAAGACTTTTATACAATTTTTTATCACAAAATAAATGTATTTCAAACAAGACATTGTAATTTATTTCGAATAATTTAAGCAATTAAAACTTATAAGCTTAATCCTACATAATAATTTGATTAAATAACAAAAAAATAGTATATCCAACGAAACAAACTTAACTGCACCGTACTTGAACAAAAAGTTTGTCAATTAATAAGCAGCCTGAAACGCTTAACTTGTGGAAAGAAACAAAAATAGATCGAGTTTTTACAATATACATTATCAATTACAAAAATACTCAATCTTCTTGCTTGTGAGTTACTTTCTAGCGAAGTTAGCGGTCTGATATTAAATTTCACTTCAAGAACAAATGATTCTCCCTCTCTCCCTCTCCCTCTCCCCCCCCTCTCTCTCTCTGTCATTCACCCACTCATTCACACATACACATGTATGTACATGCGGATGCACACGCGTGTCATATTGTGCAATGCGAAAAACTGTAAAGAAAAAATTAATGAAAATAGCTTATCTATTACATAGTAAAAAAGTAATATTTACTGTTTAAACGGATAGTTTTCGTTATACACACTGGAAATATAGTAATAAATAATAGAAATTTTATGAAAAGCAATATTAAAGAATAACATCTAGTTATTAAACAAAATATATACATACAACTAAGCATCGAAAATTTAATTTCTTTGCTTCATAGAACAATTCATACATGTATCATGGACTTTAAACAAAGTAAAAAACTCTTATTCATAACAAGCATGGTATTAGACAAACGTATTTTTATATGCAAAGTTATTATAGGTTAAATAAAAAATTATTAAAAATAAAGTGTATAAAAAAGGTACAAGAAATAAAAGATAGTGCAAAAATTATAACGTATAATCAATTTTACCGTACAAAAGTACATATAATTTCGAAGTCTGTATATTATATTATACAAGGTGTATTAGCATTGTATATTTTTTGGATATTTTTCGTGAACACGGGTGCGCATGCGCACGTACACGAAAATATATATAATTTGTGAATAATAATATTAATAGAATGGATCACAGAAGAAATATTGATGATACGAGACATAACTAAGTGATACAAAGTACAGCTTCAAGTACAATTCCATCTAGCCCGATAATTTATATGTTCTTCGTTCATAATAACTGTCACTCAAATTGACCGAAGAATTTGTCAAGCTGGAAAATTACATAATAATGATACAATCTGCGTTCGTATTGTATTAAATAGTTAACAGCAACTAATATTATTCTTTCTATGAATATTAAAGCATATACATGCAAAAATATATTTATAAATTTATTTTTGAAATTGATCATTTTTCTTCCTTAACTTTTTAATTTCGAACCGGAATACGTATATCAGAATGAAGTGAAGCGAATTCATAGAATTTCATTCAGGATAAAATTAATAAAAACGTTTATAGTGTAACATAAAAACAAAAAAGATTATTACACGCTAAGTCTAACATCAACGAACGTATGTAGTACATACTAAGAAATGATTGTACTTAATTCACTATTTGCAACAATTTCCTCATTGCAAGTAAAATCAATAATAAATTAAACTTGAATAAAATTAGTAATTCTATAATATATTTCATTTACTTTTTATGCATATTACATTGTAATCTACTTTGAAAAACTAATGAGAATTACGAAGTGGTCGTTAATACTAACGATTAATATTAATTTCAATAACAGAAGAATATATTTTTATATGTATGTATACTGAAATCTGTGAAAATGTAAAATAAGAATATACTAATAAATTGCACAATAAATTCTATAAAAAATATTTTATTCCAACTTTACCAACATCCACATTTTAATAATAACTAGTCAACCAACCAACAAGCTAACCAATTTGAAAAATGCAAATTTAAATAAGGAAAATTTTGAACTTTGAATTAGAAAATTAAGAACAGTTCAGTTGATATATTTTGTCACTATTTTGAATTTATACAAAATTTGTGACTTTCTGTATAAGATACACCTTTTATGTCTAAAAATAAAATTGATAATACAAAGTGTAACCGCATAGTATTAAATTAAATTATTATTCTTTATTGGTCAATTAACTATGAAGGATGGTTAGATTAGATTAGATATTAGATTGTTCAAAAAATAACATTTATCACATATATAGTATACGATATAAAGATATATAGTATGTAAGTCATTTTGAATAAGCATTTAGACAATGTGTACAAATATGCAATCACCTCTTTTTATCATGAACTTATTTTGTATATCATTGTAATTATAAAGTGAGAAACAACTACACTGATATCTATAATGAATAGGAATATAATATTTCTTTTTCAAAATATTGTAGAAAGATTAGGAAATATTATTGAATAAATATAATTAACGACACGATTATTTTGTGATAATTAAGTTCGATTGTATAAATGCTTATAAAAAAATGTTAAATATTAAACAAATAATATATTAACAAAGTAACAAATTAATCAACGTCAAAGTATATACTATGAACCAAAACATAAAAGGAGTTGCAGTATAAAAAAAAGTAATGATTTCAATTTAGTTAATAATTTTAAAAAATTACGCCAAAAAGATCTAGAATTGGAACACTTGACTACATGGTGATAATATAGAATTTCCTAGATTTAAGAAATATGAATTATATTTTGAATATAAGAAAATACTGTGACTTCGCTACATTTAGGTATATCTATTTAATCCTAGAACGATACAGTTACATCTTTCAAGCGTATGTGACGCTGTGGGGAAGTGGAAGATTCAAAATAAAATTTATACAGTTGAACTATCATCTGACATTAGTTATATAGCTTAAAAGAAAGTTTTTATAATTACCGACAGTCTTCTACGATAATTTTCTGTAAACTGAATAGATCAACATTCTAAATTCGACGCAAAGTCAAAGTCTTTTTTCGTTAAGCAAAATGTACATCTATATAATTAGCCTTCTAATTGTTTGTGTACAGTTTGGTAGTTTAAAGTAGCGTCCGATATTCGTGTTTCTTTGGATATAGTAGCGAGTGTTAAGTAGTGTTTAAAGTGGACGTCTATTAAAGCCAATGATAACGTTTTTATATTTTATACCGTTTCGCTTATAATAATTATGTGTCTTATTTATAAATAACAAATTAATTGACTATAAAAGTACCAAGTATTTTACGAAATATTCTTTTCTTGTTCTATGTATATTTGTATGCTTATTTATATGTATATTTTGTATCTTTTTTATCTTTTCAAAAGTATTAATTTAATAGAGTTTAGAATTAAACTGAGAATTCGAAAGGAAAGCATTGCATTTAAAATACCAAACTGCAGTTCTATAATCAATGTTTTAGTATGATACTAAAAATATTTCTACGTCTCCGAAAATTTCCCACTTGGGTAAGGAATTTGAATACATTAAAATTGTAATACTTTTATATGTTTGTTTACAAATTAAAGCGAAATAGTCTATTATTTGCTTCTTTGAATATTTTAAGTAATTTAATTTTACTACGCTAAAATACTTCGTAAATTTATTGGCAAGGCCTACAAAGTTAATGAAACTGTATAGAAATTCTTATTCCTATTATCTCTTAAATTAAGGTATAACATTATGACAGTAAATAAATGCTCAACAATTCAATGTTTATTTGCATGCTGCCAACCCCATGTTATCGTTACAAAGTCAAACACAAATGAGGATAGAGATTAACACAGAGAGATATATAAATCAAGATTTCAACTTAAACTTTGAATTCAGCCTTTCAAATACAATCATGTCTTTCATGGCACCTACTTTGCGATATTCTTTTATTATTAGATGTTACACACAAAATATGCGTTTTACAATATGTATTATAGACAACAAACTATTTTTATCTTTCATCTGTTTTAAACGATTGCATCACAAAACAAATATTGTACATTTGTTCAAAAGTAGGTAATATACACACATAAAAATGTATACAGGATAAGCAATAAACGGTGTCCGTGTATCAATCATATTTTATTTCGTGAATTATAATATTTACTATTATTTCTGCATTATTATTGCTATTATTATTATTATTATTATTATTATTATAATGATATAAATTTAAATTATATAATTAATGAAAAAAATCAAGAATATAGAAAGTTTTGAAATCCAAATTTGGAAATGCAGACTTTGTCCTTGCGAAGGTTGAACTTTACTTTTCAAACAATAGGTAGAGCTATTAACTGTGCCAAAGCTTACTGAAGAGTCGAATTATGTAATACTATTTTCATCCTATTTCTGGTTTACAAGTAATTTGTTATTTAACAAGCTTCCTGCACAGCAGTTAAAAGTAGTTAAAATATCAAAGAATTCACAATTTTGAAAATTTATGTTCATTGTAACTATTATAATTACATTCAAATAAAAATTGTAATGGGACATCGAATTAAATATTATTTATTCGTTATTTGATCATGTATGTGTAATTTTTCCTTTATCGGTTTAAGCATCGTTTAATTTATATCGTTTAACTTCTAGAGAATAATTTTATTAGCTATAGGTATTTTAAAAGCAATGAGCTTTTTACTGTAAATATAAAGAGAACCTGTAGTATAAATAACTGTAATAAAAGTCTATAGTTAAAAACTAGAAATTATGGAAACATGAATGAAATATGAAATAAAAACTACGCAGAAAAGAAAAAAAATATTATTGGATGAATTACACCTTTGCACAAAATGTAAAAGATTTATTGCAAAATACAAAAAAATTAATTTGCTTGCAAAACAAAAAAACGATTATATATTATACCTTCTACTATTTCTTCATAATTACTCTTTAAATGAAAGCTAATAATTAATACTATTACGACAATGTAAATACTAATATTCTGCAAATTTTGTTCCATTCTTACGAATATTTTAATACTAATTAAAATTATTATAAAAATGGAAATGTGAAACTTCCCTAAAGGTTCCTTGTAAACCGAATTTGTAATTAATATAAGAACCCGTAAATACTTTTACCTTATCTATCGTTAAATATTTTGCTGGAGAAAGAAAATAATCGATAACACGACACAGTTTATAAGAATGGTCTTTTAATCTTATTTTCAACGAACAATATACGAAACGTGAACTATAAACTTATTTGGAAAATAACTCTTGCTTAAATTAGAAGTTTGTTTAAATTTGACGAAATTAATAAAATTGCGAATATTATATATACATTAAATAATAATTAAATGAATACTATAAATACTTTTGAAACAATTTAAAATTACATTTGGTTTGAAGAAAATGCTACACTATTCAAGTAATCACCATTTACTGTTGTGAAGCAAGATTCTGCTATTACAAAGAATTTTCTGACCATTGATATTAGTACACATATTTCATAAGATTTATTCATCTAACTTTATCATACGGTGCATTTATACCATTTACATAATACAAAGTTAAAAATTACAGCTTCGAAATCTTAAATGAATTTACATACTATTCTAAAGGTCTCATTATCTCAAGCAAGTTTACTCGATGAAAGTTAACAAGAGTCTACTTTATCTCATTGCTTGTAAAATGTATTTAACGATAAACATTGCTTCCGCTTTCCTTTGTTCTCTCGTGTTTCATTTCTTTTCATTCTCTTGTCCTAATGATTATATTATTGTTTGCTATATTTTAATATAACATTTAATGTTAATATTATCACGTTTTATGATAATGACAATGATTTGGTAGAAATAGATTTTTGTGCATTATCATTTTTTTTTATTGATATTAGTATTGATCTTTTATTGCGATATAATATAAAAATAAACAAGACGCGCTTAAGATATTCATACGTACAATATTATCGGGAAAAATTAATCTTAGATTTTATCTTTGATCTAGGTAGACATTCCACAGAGCCAACCAATCTTTCACAGCTGATCCAACGATGTGGGTAATGCATATTAAAAAATAGATTACTTTCTTCAAAGTAAATAGGTACCCGGATATCTAGATTAAACTATCTCTTAAACTATTGGTTTTCTCACACGAATAGGTTAGTACTTTTTTATTGATACTGACGAGCTAAGCCGAATAGTGTATTAAAAAATATATGTATCCATTTAAAAAACCAAAGTTAATCTTATGACCTATACGCGTTCAGCTACAGAAAAAATAATTACACCATTTTAATGTCTCCCTTAAAGCCATTCTTTTCTTATCCGAATCATTGTTTTATTCGGCGACTAGTTCACGAATAATTAGTATTTATTGATTAAAATTGGGCGCCTTGCAGAAAATATAGAAGCATTCTTCAGATGAAAATTGTAAAGTATCAAAAGCAACAGTTAATGTTGAGCTTCGTTTGAATTCTACTTTGAAAAATAAGAATACATATCTTTTACTGAATACTCATAACTAACATCAAAATATTTTGAAAATATTATACACATGTATCATTTTTCACTAAAGATTTTCAAAGTATGAAATTATTCGAATTATTGAGATTCGTATTATATCATGTACGCCGCGGAGGACTATAATATCCTCCTGGTCTTGTTAATTTGTAAGTATTTCACATTGCATATAGAATTACTTGAATGAATCGAAAACACTTAATAGTACATTATTATTGTATATACAGATACATAGTATATATAGATAGTTAGTCACACGAATATTCGAACATATATACAATTTGACATTTATACTTTGTTAAATAAATATGTAACGAAAGTGAAAGTGTTGTTATATTGTAGTATACCTAACATAGTACATAGTATAATAATACAGAGTACAATATCTATGCTTGTGATGAAAGAGTAAAAATATAAAAGAAATAAATGAAAAAATAAATTGTACAGACGTCCGAATATTTATATAATCAACATGCATACATATCTGCACACAAAATGAACACATTTTAGGAACACTATAATGATAGATGTAGTGACCGATAGATATAGTGTACATATCAGGTAATACGAATACCGGTGATATAGATTTAAATTTTTAATTTTAGATTTTAGATTTTAAATTCCATATTTTTTAAGATATTTATCTGTGAAAATTAAAATGGAATTTCCTATATAAATTATAGCATAATTTGGTGAAACATAAATGGTTAATTAATTAGTAATACCAAATGTGCTTGGATTATGCAATATTTGTATAAATATCAAATTATTAAAGTAAACGAGCATAAAAAATACTACGTATTTATGCAAAATTTAACTATTATTACCTGAGGACATAAGCATCCACATGCTCTGTGCGACAAATGCTGATAATCTCACAACGCACGATTTTTAGTAACGATTGCCATTTCCACCTGAAAAAAAAAATTGTAATTTTGATTAATATGAGTTTATACGCAAATGAAGCGCAAATATTGCTTATTAAATATATTTTTTCATTGTTTCCCACGTGAAATATTTTGAAAAGGACATTTACATTTATCAGAGTTAATACTATTCATAAACAATAATTTAATTTACTAATTTTTAGAAATATTTATCTAATAAAATTAATTAATCTATTTATTTAAATTATTTGTTCTTCAAAATGTTCTACAAATTGACTTCATTTTTATTTGAATATATCTACGTACTGTAATAATTATACAAAATAAACGATTTTATCAATTAATTAACGCTTTTTTTATAATATTTAACAAAATAGGAATACGTAGTGTAAAACTAGCTACGATGCATTATTATCGGGCATTTATATATTTGAAAGCATGCGTGTGGGGACTCTAGATAAAAAATTACAAATTCTATTAATCTGTTCACAATTCAACTATTAATCATTACAAAAATATAGTGGTGATACTTATATGATAAATAAAGGTACATGTGCAAATCAATCGAAACTTGTAACTTTCATACAAAATTGATCGCTAATATTTATATGTATATAAAGCATGTTGTCGTAAAATAAAAATTTTAAGAACATGAAAAATAACATAATTTTCCAGAAAAAACAAGAAAATGGCTTCAATGAATTGAAATATATAAAAGAATACAGATATTTATATTGAATTCATAAATTAGTGACTAATTAGTAAACCGATTAATATACTTCCTAAAATATTTTCAATATATTTGAAGTTAGTTATAGATAACTTACATATATAAAACAATGCATACAAAACAAGCATTTTAATGTTTTATAAGAATTAAACAATAAACGTATTTAAAGGTTTATGCTTCTGTTTTCAATATAATAACAATAAAAGAATCATAATAATAACTCATATAATAAAATTGAAACTTATATGAATATATCCAATGTGGAATAACACGTTGATACGTTTACTATTTCTTTAATTTTTCTATTCACGAAACTAATTATATGTATTAATTATAAAGTTATTTTTTTTTATTACTGTAGGTTATTTATTTATTATTAGTGCTAACTTTTAACACTTTTATATTTTAATAATACATTTTATATTATCGCCATATTTCATATGATAAACAATAAAACGATAAATACTGTAAAATACACGTGCTGTGCACGTGTTGAAGGTGATAAAATAGTTTTCTCTCAATTTTATCTTTTTGTATTTTACACTTATCTTAATTGTCCAGAAAATCGTGTTATATTCCAATGAACATTTTAATAATATCAAAACATTTGAAAATAAATTTTATTTGATATGTCAATATCTATTTAATAACTCTATTATATTTTCAAATAGAACAGTTGCTTGTATTATTAAAATAAGTCGTCTACGTATATGATTTTTGGTATAATTATATCACTGTTTAACATATTAAATTATAATATGTACTCAATTTTATGTCAGAATATTTATATATACTTGTAATATCATTAATATATTAACAAATTAAAAAGAAAAATGGTTTGAAATATAAAATATTACATTTTATAAGATTATATTAATAAAACTTGAGTAATTTTAAATAAATTATTTATTTAATCTATTATAACACGTATTTCATAAATTTTACATTTTGTTATAAACTTTTTTCTAATCTTTAAATTAATTAGCTAATAGAATTTTATCAAATGTACAAGTAAAGTATATTTCTTCATATGACTGTCCATGTATATTTAAACTTTTTGGTAGACATTTTTCTTAAACTCTGTCACTCTTTACAGGCTTATTTCATTTTAATACACTTTTAGATGTTATTATGATATAAACAAAAACTTTCCATTGCTTATATCTTAAAGGATAAACTTTTATAAATTTTAAATGCAATGTTTGTAAATTGATAAAGTAAACGATACAGGAAGCAAAATTATTCATTGTTACATATTTCCTATTTATTCATGATTGTCAATATGTTCAGTTCGTCTAATTAGAAAAATGTACACCTGTTCTAGCGCTTAGTATTCTCATGTACACATATATACTATCACACGAGGTAAATATATATGTTCAACAAAATTCTCTAGTACTCTATCAAAATATAAAGCCTGACTATGGCGTGCCAAAAATTTAGGCAGTATTCGTAAATATAATAATGGTCCAAAATTTTTCGTAATTCTAATGCCTAACGCCAACAATATTTACAATAATAATAATATACCAATGTTTAATGATGGTAACTTTAAGTTACGTTCAAGTTTAAATAATAAATTTAGTCGAATAAAATAATAAAACAAGAACTTATATACATTCATTGAACTGTCAGTGGTAACTAACTTCGATACATTTCTACTAAAATGAAGGACATAGTACATGAAAAACATGAAAATACAAACTTACATTGTCATATTTTTCATATGTATAGAAGTACAGCGAATAGATCAATTTTTGAACTTTAAATAAGTCGTAGGTAGAATAACAAACTTCACCAAATCCAAAATAAAGTGAAATTTCCATTACATGTATTAGCTTTATTTTAAAATATAAAATTTTATTTAACAAATATTTTCAACAAATTTTTCAATAATTTTCTCTTTGAGAGAATACTAATGTGTTCAAGTATTATAACGAATAATCATCATTCTTCAACACGTTTTTCGAACTAATAATAATTTTATACTTGTGTTAATAATAATTACATAGATCACATAGAATAAATAAAATTTAATTTGTGCTGAATTATCTTCCTTTTGCAACATGCATTGTTTTATTTTATATACAAAATACTTCAGCATAGTTTCGAAATACGTTTTTCTAGATTAATAAAAGATCTTATAACTATTACATATAATCTACATTTTGTCTATTTAAACAAAAATTATCATTAACTTGAAACCTTTTTAATCATTTTTACTAAACATTTTATTAAAACATATCTTTTAAAAATTGTTTGTCAACTTGAAATATCTGAATGATTTTCATAGTAAGATTTTTACTAAATATTTTCAAACCATAAGCCTTTTACATTTTTCTCAGGTAAACAAGGAATAGTTGTGTATAAAATGTGATGATGTGATTGTGTTGTAAAATTTATAATCACGATTGTCATAAAAAACAATTATTAAGTGAATTATAAAATATCTGTCAATTATGTAATAGTATTTATATATACAAAATGAAACACATATATCAGAATGTACACAAAATTTTACATAATATGTAGAATAATTTTAAACTATTAAGGATAACATAATCAGTTAACAGTAATATTTCACATCCGTATAATATCTGCCTGATTTTTCGAAATGTATGTATACAGTTTATTAAAATAATGATATGAATTTGAAATTTTTTTATTATTGATTGAAAGTATATTTATATGTAAAATTATAAAAATTACATAAATGTATCTCAACCAACCAGTAGTTTGCGTTTCTCGAAAGTACTATGTAGATCAATAATGTATAAAATTTCATCGACAAAAATCTTATGCGATTTTAATAAAGTAAAATTAAAGGTAAATGTAGCATAATTATAGTAAAAAAACAGTATTTTAATCATTATGTTTTTATATGTGAATTTCATTTATTCCCAGTTAAAAATTGATCAATGCTGTAGAAACCGCCATTGATTTTAGTATCTACATATCACTATTTCAAGTTCGCATATTCATTCAAATTATTAATTATTAGATAGATGTCTAATATATGATATATTCAAAAATAATATTACAAATTACATACTAGTACTGTAAATATCAAATAATATAATTTTCTCTTTATACTTTTATTACCAACTTTCGTAAAATTAAATTTTAAGTAGAATTTGTAACTATACAATTTCATGTAACAATATGATGATTAATACTTCATAAATACTTTTTTATTTTACCCATAATGAATGTTAAATATCATTCATGTACTTCTCAACGGAATATAAAAACAGCATATATCATGTAAATTGTAACGTTAATTTATATTCGATTTAAAAAGTTAAAAAAGTATTTCAAGTCAAGGTAAAAATTAACAATTACAAATTTGCTTTTCCAAACAATAATTTACTCTAAATGCTACTAAAGTCCTAGAAAAAAGGAAGATCGCATCAGTGCTTATGTCTATTTATATTCAATTTAAAATAAGGAGATAAAGCGATGTATATACATATCAGAGTCTCGTAGCCTCGCTTTAAGCGGTCGGTATTACTGGAACGAGAAGGTGGGCGCATCGATCTTCGCCAAAAAACACGCATATACACGTTGCTTACTATACAATTTAATCTATTCACTGTAGTATGTCGTCAGAACATTTTTTCACCGCAATTATTTGTTTTAATTAAACACTCACTGTAATGTTTAACAAATTAACTAAAGTAAAATCATTATAATTCTTGTCAAATGTCGGAAATTAATACCTTTTTTCAAAATACTAATACACGTGAAAAATTAATTTTCAAATAAGTGTTAGGTTAAGCGTAGTAACAATTATCATCAGAACACTATACCACAAGATACCGGCGATATGGTCATGGTTGCCAGGCCGGTTTTATTTTATCAAAACATTTATTTAAATTAAATTATATGTCATTGATCAATTTTTAGTATTTATGGTACTTTAAATTGAATTACGTTTTCATAAATTAATTTACATTCAAGTATAATTAAAAATTGTAACACTTTTATTAAAGTACTATAAAGGTTGGTGTTATGTGGAAGAAATAAGTTACGATAAAATTTTATATAAATTGTATAACTTTTAGACAAATATTTGCAATTAAGATATGAATAGAAGAAATAGTTGACTAAATTTGAGAGAGATATTTCAACTTACTGAGGAATCTGCCTAAGATCGCCCTGCTTTCTGTTTATGCTACTGCTGCTTGTGAACCAAATCTCAAGGAGTTTCTCTACTCCTTCGAAAAATTGCACACTGTCGGTGCTGTCGTCTTTGGTAGCTGCCATCCTTTGGAGGCACAAAATTTTATTCACAACTACGATATATGTGAAAACAAACAAAAATTTCTTTCTTGAGTTTGTGTTTCGCTCCAAATGTACGATAAACCGTCCCTCTCACCCAACTTTGCTTTACTACTGAGAACAAGTGATCGAGTAATCATATTGGCGGTGGTTTCTATCTCTCTTGCTCTTCTTCGCGTGCGCAATATGGTAGTTTCTATCTTCTTCCTGCTCCTTTACGTGACGTTCTTTTTTAACTACTATCTCTATCTTGGATGCGTGTACCCATCGTTCTACCAATCGAAAACTACTTCTGACGCGTGCGCACATTAACCAACTGTATTTAAAATACATTCCTATAATTTTTGATAAAGACTATATGAAATTTAAATTTATTAAATATTATATGAGATATAACATAAATGTAAATATTGCACAAAAGATAGTAATAAAAATATATATTGTTATATTTTAATTACACAGTTTATTGATAATTTCTAAATTTATTAATTTTAGAGACTATATTTTAGTAAGAGTTATTTATGTAAATTATACATAATTGTAAAATATATTTAAATGCATTGAAAATTTTATATTTCAATATTAATAAATCATTCAAATACAGAATATAATTGTGATCAATTGAGAAATTTCACTTTTCATCATATTTCACAATTAATAAATTTTTTAAATTTCATTTACAAATTATTGTTATAAGATACCATTGACCAATAAATAACTAATTATCAAACAGTGATAGAAAAAGAGTAAATACAAAATTATTATTATATACATCCTAAAATATATATTTTAGAAATGAATTTGGATGTCTCTGAATGTTTACATTATTATTTAATAGTACAATCTTTTTCAATTTATTTTATTACTTTTTTAATCTTTCGCTTTTTAATTATTTTATTTATTTTCTTAGGAATAAATTTTTTATGCTCTTCCTTCCCTTTTTTAACTAAAATATCTTCATTCATTGGTTCAATAATTTTTCCCATACATGTCTTAATATTGGGTTCTATTAATTTTCTGTGTGCATTTTCAGGTATAAAATTTCTTCCAATTGGCATTCTGATACTAGATTCGTAATCTTTAACACTGGAAAATGGATATGGTACTTCATTAACTTGATGTTCTCTTATTTTAGGATTATCTTCTTCGAATATTATTACATCACCCTTATTTTCATCTTTTCGTGGTAAATCTTTGGGTACTTTTAAAATAAAACGCTTTTTTTTACGTTTAGAAATTTGAATATTTTTCCCACCCCAGCTGCCCCATCCTGGTAGTGATAAATCGATATCCTTAGGTTGATACTTCTTCACCTATGTATAAATTTAATATTTTACGCAAAATTTTAGTAAGAAACAACTTTACAGTACGAATATTTTGACTTACCTCCTCTTCTTTTTCTTTTTTAAAATCTTCTATAACATCATCATCTGCAAATGCTTCACTTACTATATTACACATTTCTTCTTCATTTTCACTGTTGTCCAAGACATCATCACCATTAGTAATATCATTTGGAAGATATGTATTTAAATGTTTAGGTTTTACGTTTATGTACTTATTTGGGTCTATTTCTACCTTAGATGTGTTTAATTTATGTATAGGTACAATATTATCATGTACCATATATTTAGCTTTCTCTAATTCTGTATTTAAATCCAAATTATTTTCGATACCTTCATTTAAACCTAAATCCAAAATAGGTTTCTGTCTTTTCACTTGAATTTCAAGACCATCAAAATTATCTTTTTCAAATTTACTTCTTTTACATTTTCTTCTTTTCTTAATTTTCACTTTGTTATAATTTTTGGAAATATGTTCAAACTTGGATTTAATTTGATTTCCTACTTTTTCTTCCATAGAATCAAATATTTTATTTATTTTTTCACTATTTGATGTATTAGATATCAAAGAATTAATGACATTTATATTTTCTATAGACTCCACATTCCAATTAGAAGTGGCAGTAATAATATTTACACGTGTTTTAGGTAATTTTATTTTCTTATTAAATATTGTATTATTATCTAACATGGTTTCTTGTGTAATTTTATTGTATGTATTATTCTTTGTATCTTCGATATTGAATTTTGTTGTTGGTAAATTTTGCTTATGATTCATAATTTCAAATGATTGTACATTAGATGTAATATTATTATCTATAAAAGGTATTTGTTAATTAAATTTATAACTATTATTCAATATTGTATATTATAAACATACCTTTCGAATTAGAATTTACTGAATCTGCTGAAATTATATGTTTATTAGAATTCACTATTACTGGAACCTTTTTTTTATTTTCAAAAGAATCTACTTTATCGTCAGTATTCTTCTTATCTGTAAAATACATTTTAATAATAAAATTTACAATGTTTATCAATGATACTTTTTAAATTTTTATAAACATACCATTTAAAACACCATCAAGTTGAGTATCATTCAAAGATTTATTTTTTTCTTTACTAATTGTAATTTTAGTATTAATATCTAAATCTTTGTTTTTTAACTGGTTATTTTTATCATCCCAATATTTACGATAATTTTCAACAAATTCATCAATTTCTGATTTCGTTTTGGTATTCTCTGTCCACGAATTTCCTTTATCATTAACTAAAAGCTGCTCATGTCTACTGTCACTTTCATCTTCTTCTTCACTCTCACTTTGTTTTCTTAACTTCTGAGTCAAGTCTCGACTAATTGACAGTTGTTGAGCAAGTTCTTGTTGAGTCTAATAATTTCAAAAATATATTACTAGTACAATATTAAATAAACAATACAATATTTGTAAAAACTTTTCTACATATTTCTAGCTTAATTATTGTTTATCATATTTAGTAAATAATAGAAAAATAATATATGCTTCAAACTTTTATTTATACAATTAACTTTATAAAAATTTTATTCAATATTGTTAATTGCATGAATTATAATAATTAATAACAAAGATTTATTTTACTAATAAAATTCTTCTATTGTACAGTATATAAGGTAAATGTATTAAGTAGACTAAGTTATAACTCTATTTCAGATAAATTTATACAAAATTTGCAGAGAAAAATTTTGTACTATTTAACAAGCTCTATCATTCTATAATAAAACATTTTCAAAAGTGCTGAAACTTCACAAATTCTAAAACTTCTTTTACTTGCAAATTCATTGATAAAATTTATTTGTAACTTTAATGAAATATCATATAACATAATAATATTATTCGTAGGGATATATTCGTCCGCCTATAAAATTGTACGCACAAAATTTCTATCGTATTGTGGTAAGAAAGATCGGTAAAAAATTCTTCATATTTCATCACCTGCGCATAAAATCTGCTCTATAGAATAATGATAAGAATTAAATTTTTGAAGTTATAAAGTACGAAGCAAATATATTAAGCTTCATGTATGCCAATACCTCTGAATTAATGTCTTCATGTCATACAATTATTTGCGTATAACTGTTTTTAGTTTGTTTGAATGAACAATACCTTTTTAAGCTATATTCTATTTTTCTAAAGTATATTCGCTGCGGTTGTATCGTATTAGGGTATTATTGCGATACATTTCTGTTGCAGCATTAAAATTTGTATCACATTTAATGTAAATTATAAACATATCTATTTTTTCGTCAATTTGTAAAATTCATCGTAGCACGATTAAAAACAGAAATAATTTGACACAACTCTTGAAAATGTAATTGGTTACCAATTGAATGAAATATATATAATTCTTTCAATAACATAAACAATACATAAAAACACGAAAATTCTATTGAACAATAAGTATGATAATAAAAACAACAGCGTCATCATGAAGATTCAAGGTTAATATGAAAATTGTATAAAATTTGAAATATGTTGAGAAATATTGATTTTTTTAACATTTAAAAAAAAAATTAAGAAAGGAAAAAAATGCAGTTGCATTAGTAAAAAAAAATCGTAATATAAGATTATCCTCTGCAACTTTTTTCTAAATTCACCTGAAATAAAGTTATAGTCTGACCTAGTTACTAGAATCATTGTGTATATACAGGATATCCCACCTAACTCGAGGACCTGAAATATCTCGCTTATTTTTTGATACAAAAAAAAAAAAAAAAAATATCAAAGAAAAACAATTGGCTTAGAGGAGCAAATATCATGACAGGCTAAACATTTTTTTCAGGATCATAATTTTGAAGATGTTAAGGTCATTGAAATTTATTTCAATAGAACAATATATTTTTATGATCACTGATATAACGTAACAAATATCATATTGAATACTTGTTAAAATAGAAATTTTTCATAACCAAAATTATGTGAAGATTATAGTATTATAAGTTACTGTATTCTTTATGTAATAATGATAAAGGTATATCATTCCATTTAAATAAACTTCAATGACCTAGAAATTTCAAAAAATATGATTTCAAAAAACTTTTTGTCTATCATGATGTTTGTGCCTTCAAATTAACCAATGTCTTTTGTTAACACTTTTTTCTATTATAAAAACATGCAAGATATTTCAGAAACATGGGTAAGGTAGTATATGATGCACTTACTTCTTTATCATATTTTGCTCTAATTTGTTTAGATTTAGCCCACTTTCCTGTATTTTTATGCCGTAATGACATCCGTTCTTCTGCTCTAGTTTTATCTAGTTGTTCAAGTTTTTCTAGTGCAGCTTCTGGATTAGTTTTTTGTAATTCTTCAAACTCTTTTAATTGTAATTTTATTTTTTCCTTTCTTTGAACACGATGAAATTTCTTACTTTTAATTTTGTTTTGACGATGAGCCTTTGCTTCTTTATAAGACTAAAAAAAAAAAATAAAATTAGTAACTAAATGTTATTTTCCATATCCAAGTTTCTATACATAAAAGTTTTAATACTGTAATACTTTAATACAAACCTGTTGTGCTCTAATTCTGGCAGCTTCTTTCCTTTTCATAATAATTTCCTTTAATGTCAGTGAGAATTCATCACTTTTTTGTTCAATGTTCTCCTTTTGTGGTTCTAATGCAGCAAGTTCTTTTTCTAAGTCTGATTGAAGTCTAAATCTTTTAACAAATTTTGAAGATGGTTCTAAATGCATTGGTACTTGATGTAAAGGAAAACGAAGTGATTCTGCAGTTCTGTTCTTCGTTATTACAGCATTCCATTTTTTTAATTCTTCTTGTGTATTTTTAAAAGCAACTATTCTCTTTATCTAAAAAAAATGTCATTAATAACAACTATTTTAAATACATTTATCTAAATATGTTATTTATAATATTTTTATTAAATTATGCAGACATTTTAATTATCTAGACAATGAGAAAATTCTTACTTTGTCTGCTGCTGGTTTTTCCAGAGGTTTTGGTAAGATATGAACATTTTTCTTTATAGCTCGTAAATTTTTAGTGATTTGAAAATGATGACCCTTCTTCCCTAAAGCTTTGGCTAAATCATGTACTTGAACTGCATCTTGATCAGATATCCCACTTTTCACTAAATGAAATTCTGATACTTGTAATGTAGGTTCACTTCTTTCTGCCTTTTTTACTCTAAAAAAATGTCAAAAACGTATATTTTACAAATATATTAAATATATTATTGTTGTAAACAATACTGAAATAATATGTTGCATTCAAAGTATTTTAAATACTCCATGTGAACATTTATAAGATACACTATATATGTTTATAATGATAAATTGAAACAAATAATGTAAACTGGAATTAAACTATTATGTTTAAAAGGGATATACAGCATCAGGTTATCAAACAATAATTTTGTTATTAAATATTTTATATTCAACTCTTTACACAGTTGCTTGAGTATGCAATATACAATAGTTACATACATGTATATCTATTTTTTCCATATTTTAATAATTATTTTGCAAGTTAAATAACATAAATAAATCATATTATTGTTCTCTTTTTAATAATTCTTACTGAATTTAATGAAATTATTTATTTTTCATAATAATTTTTGATATCAGATTCAATCTTCAATCAAAATAAAGTAAATATTCCAATATTTGATAATATATTAATCAGTAATTTTATAATTGCATTGCGTTATTAAACATTATTTTACTTCTAAAAACTAAAGTAAAATTATCTATTAATAAATATAAATTAGAATATTTAGAATCTTTTTAAACTACCAATAAAGAGAAACCTGATTCTTACAAAATAAAAAATAACATGAAAAATAGATAAAAATGTCTCATCATAGATACACAAATTAATAATTTTCAAATTATACAATTTTTTACTTCATAAGTTTAATTCTTTATATAATTACACACGCATACGCACATGCAACACGCATTCCATGCGCGCACGTAAATATTACAATAACTATGTATTTTATTTTTTAAACTTTTAAACAATATTCAATAATTCTCAGACATAATAACAAATTAAATTATTGGTAACATAGGCAATAAGACTTAATTTGGGAAGATCTGTTTCATAATTATTCAAAGATTTCAATTATAGTCAATTTTCCCAAAACTTAGGGCTTTGTTGTTTTTTTGATACTTACTACAAATTCTTGTCTACCTGTTATTATCATTTCAGTTGCATTTCTATGTTTCTTCTTTTTACTATTTTTCTAAAAAGTTAGTTTATTATTATATTATTATAATTAATCTAATTAGTTATTAGTTTTTAGCTTTAGACTCCTTTGAATTGTTAGTATCAATCCAGTTCTTGTCTAAACCATTTAAAAGATACAAATTACAAGCCAATCCTACTTATTTAATATTTATTGTTTATTTATTCGCAAATGTTACTATTTTAATATTATTAATATAAACAAATTATCTTTAAATAGTTACTTTTAAACACAAATTCAAATAACTTACAATTATTTTCATACTTTAATAACTACCACAAGATTATCAATTTTACTTATTATAGTCATTTAAATCACAATGTACAAAGATCTAAAATCATTAATCTGTAGACATTCATGAAATGTCAGTGAAATGAATTCTACTGTCTACAGTAGAGCAATATTTATCAGACAATAACCAACGTATCTTTGATAGATTGTAACTCATTATTATCATTCATCGTGAATATGAAACTGTACATTAAAATTTGTGACAAGAAAAAGGTTTGACTTAAGACCTTTTAACTCTTTTCAAAAGATTCTTGAAAAAGTACACAGTATGTCTTAATGCAATTGAATTACAATGCAACAAATATTTAATTTGGAGGAAGAAAAAATAACCATAAAGAAAATCAGGGAATGCTGATAACTGAGTTGAAAAAACTATCAAAAATTTTATTTAATTCACAGACAAAAAAGATATGGTCTCCGCCTATTATAAAATCCAAGAGATTATATGATTCTGGTAACAATGTAATTAAAATTTAGCAGCCAGTAATAAAAATCATTAATTTCTTATTATCCTGTATATCTTATAGTTTGAGTTACAGTATATCATTAATCAAATTTCTATTCAAATTTCTCATTCATAGAAAATTCCACAAGTTGGTCCTTGTCAACAAACTATTTGAAACTAAATCAGTGTTATCATTGCTCAGAATGAAACAAGCCCATCTCTCATCTATTCATTATTTTACAAACAATATTACTAGTGTAGTTGATGCTACTAGTAGTGTAGCATTAACAACAATATCGTGCCTCTAACATACTGACGATAAAAGGCTGATGTCAAATATAGTTTTTAATAGTATCCAATTTTCTGTAAACAAATATCATAAAATGATTCAGTGACTGTACACTTAGCAGCAAGTCAAAATCTAACCAATTTGAACAATATTAATAGGATTCAGTTGTCCAATTTGAATAATGGTAAGAAGATTCAATCATTTGAAAAAACTAAATGCTATGAGCAAGAGAATCCTACTATGGGTTCAAAGTGAATGTGCAATAAAAAGATTTACTGAAAAGATTTTGAATCTCATAGGAGGATTAAGAGTTTATGGAAAGAATAAGTTTACTAAATATCCCTTCTTGTCTAAGTTAGTGTTATAAGAATAGGTAATATTCAATAGTAATACTATGTTCTTAATGCTCTATAGTATAATACAACACTATTGACTTATTAATGATAAATTAAGCAAAGAAAATCTATAAAGATAAAATACTTTTGTGCAAATTTACTCAAATTAGATAACATAACAGGAAATTTACCAAAACTGGAATAAGTAAAATTTAGGAATTGGATAACATAAGTATTAACCTCAAGTATTCTTTTTACGTCAAGAACAATAAATTTTCTTAAATTATTACACATCTCAATTACAGACAACTTTCCACAATTCAGAGTTTTGTCACTTTTATATTCATTATGAGTACTTGCCTATCTACATTGCTATATATTCCCTCCCTACAATTTGTTTAGGAGGTTGATATAGAATTAATCTAAGCAACCAACAGATTCTATCTTTGATAGTAAAAATTCATTAGCACTAGTTTCATTAATTCCTTGACTGTCTGAAAATATAAATTATAAGTTGAATCTCTTTATTCAATACTTGTTACTTATAACTTATTTATAATTATTGCAAATGCATCAATACAAATTATTACTGTTTTAATACTATTAATATAACAAAATAAATGTTTTTTTCAAAAATTACAAGAATTTTTCCAAGTTCTTTTGTAACCATACCTAACAATTTTGATATACCTATCTATATATAGATTAATTAGTACTCAAAAGTTAAAATCGATTCATTTTTAAATTCTTTTATGTTTAGTGTTTTTATAACTACCTTATAATGCAATCATTCTAACTAAAAATTTAAATAAAAATAATAAACAGATCAGAACACATTTCTGAAATGAAATTTTATATATATATATAAATACAAACATAAATATAAATTGATAATTTTATATAAACATAAATGTAATGTCTAATATCAAAGTTTAATACTCAAAATATTGTTTATTATTTCATAAGTTATTTAAAATTATCTAATACAGTAACTTATTAATTAAAGTTGTTACTCCTTATATCTTATTATGCTAAATTAACATATTTATTTATTTCTTTATTTCACATTGAAATATATATATTTTTTAATATAAATACGAATTTTTTTTTGTTTAAAAGATTTAATAACACGTATTACATAATATATATAATAAGTATTTAGTCTTTAATGTATAATAATATATTAGATTAATAATACATTAATACACTTTGAAAAAACTTTCCTCGTTATAATTTACCAATTTGAGTCATTATTAATACTGCTTACAAATATAATATCAATATTATATAATCAAAATGCAAAATATACTCCAATAATATTTAGTATATTTACAATAAATTATTTAAGATAAATAAAATACATGTTTTGACATAACAAAGTAATAAATGTTGATTTAATGATGATGAATTATATAAGATTAGTTAAAGTAATATGGTACCTAAATATTAATAAGCCTCGTTATGATTCACCAGTCATGTGAATATTTAAAATATAAAATATTATTGAAAATTTACCTATATTTCTTTACTTACCTATCTAACCATTATTTTATGTGCATATATTATATAAATATATTTTTAATAAATACTTTTAATGTATAAAGTAATCATGAAGTCATATAACTAATTATATACTATTTGCCCTTTAAATAAAAAATATATTTACAAAATTGTTATTAAAAAATATATATAAGTTTTCATAAATTCAAAAACATTAGATTTAATCTACATTTTTTAATATGAGATTCAATAAAAATTTTATTAAAAAAGTTAATTTTCTAATACATATCTTAATAAATATATATCTAAATATGTATCTTTATAAATATATAAAAAAATAATTTAGTAGTTAAAATAAATATTTTTTCTACTTATTTATCTTTACATACCTTTCCAGGCATAAGAGTTATATATCATATAAATTATATATTATTCTTATTTACCTCTGACCTTTATCAAGCTCTGATACAGCTTCAAGAAGTTTAGAATGAGACTTTGATACATTTTCTTCTATGTCATTTAAAATGTTTGAATAACTTATCGACATATCCATACTTATTCACACCTCGTGTTTTATTTTCCATGAAACACAGTGGATTGAATACAGTCATGAAGTACCATATGTCATGAACGAAACAAAAATAATATAGAAGTAAAACATACTATTTTGTTATCTATATATCAATAATATATCAATATTCTAGTATACCAACTAGAAACAATTTTAAAACTTGCGTTCAATTCCCTAGCATAATATGGTAGCCATCTCTTATATATGTTTTCATATGTTTAGATTGACATGAACAGTCGTGTGTTATAACCTCTAAAAACTTTTCCATAAAGATTCAAAGGGTAATTTCTTATATTTTAATTAATATTTAATAAAAGATATTATGAAATATGATAGTTATTTTATTGGAAATATAAAATGAATTTATTTATAATATCAACTGTAAGTTGCCTTTTAGAATACATTTTTCCATCTTTAATTAAATATGTAAGTATTATGACATTGTTTTACGATTGGATTTGTTAATTACATTAATTAAAAATTATTATTTGTATTTCAGATTACATCTCATTTGTACACAATAAATAAACATGATATAGAATTGCGAAATAATTTGATTAATCTAAAACAAGAAATGGTTGGTATATCTATTGTGGATGAATTTTCAAAGTATGCAAAACTTCAACGTAAATGTAATAAATTAGAAAGTACATTAAAAGAAAAAGGTAAAATAATAGTACAAAAAATTACCTAACCATTGATATAGTAGTAAATAATGAACTGCTTAAATATTTTATATTTTTGTTATTTATCTTTGTTATTAATTTAATAAACTAAAAATTCAATAATCTTTGTTAGTCTAATAATCTAAATTTAAACGTTGTAAACTTCTAATTATTTAAACAGAAAAAAATAGTTATATTGAATTTTTATCTTATATCTAAATTTTGTATTTATTTGCATTATTTATTGTCAAATTTGTATAATACAATATATTATAATATATTGAATTATATGTATTATATTATATTATATTGTATTGTATTGTATTGTATTGTATTGTATTGTATTGTATTGTATTGTATTGTATTATATCATATTACATTACTATAATATTAATATCTGTTATTTAGCAAATGAGAGACTGTTTTTCAGAATGAAGGTACAATCATCTGTAACATATGTTTTTCGTATATTAAATGTAAGTATTTTTTTCTTTTTATTATAATATAACATACTTAATAATTCATAACATATTTTCAGGGTTTATTAACGTTGATTCTACTATATCTATACAGAAATAAACCTGTAATAATTTTGCCAAAAGGTATATTATGGCCAATACAAAGTCTATTAAGCTGGCCATGTTATCATGAAGATTCAATTTCTTTGATCATGTGGTTAGTAATTGCAAGATTAGTTGTGGCTACCTGTAAAAAAAATGATATAACATAATATTAACAGTCTATGAAGTTAGATTTTATAAGCAAGAAAATAATTGTTCAGAACATAAATTATTAATCCCTGTGTATAAGCATTCATGACAAACAATTTGGCTTTTAAGTTCCCAATGTATTAATAAAAACAACTTTAGAAATGTACATAAAATTTTTACTTTTTGCATAATATATTATGCAAATAATTATACAGTGTTTGCCATTTGTATTGTATTTGCTAAAATATTAAAATAAATATCATATTTTAAAATATCTGAGTAAATTATTATGTTTATTTTAAATAAGGATAATAATAAATTTTACAAAAATAATAGCAAAAAAGTGACTGTATTTCGTAAAAGCTTGAGTAAAGTACATAATATGTAATAATGAAATATATTTGTATATAACTATTAATAAGTAATAATTTTGTTTTAACAAAATTTTTTTATATGTGACAATTCATACATCTGTATTCCATGTAATATAGCAATGTTTTATCCACGTATGAAGTATTTGTGAAACATCTATTTTATAAAGCTTAAAAAAATTATTAATTTTTGTTATTATTATCGTAAGTAAATATTTATCATTTAATTTTCAATAATCTTATGATTTTAAGTTAGCTTTTGTGTGATATCAATTTGCATTTTTCATAATGATTTTATGTTTTAACATTGCGACATGTATGATACCCAAATATTACATATATAAATTGTATCATAGGAAGTTCTATAATGTAAACGCTGAATTTACTTCTTTTTTAACTAAAAAGCTTTTTTAATTAAAATGATATATTTTTTTATTTTATTACTGGACGAAGAACAAAAATGTTGTCCATAACAAATTTAATAACAAATTGAAAAATCTCACGAGTTTTTGAGCACCAATAGTAAATAATAATGTTCAAATTATTATAAAATATAGCACAAGATTGTTATGTTTTACTTTATCACATTCATATAAATATCAATTGAATATATATTATACATGACATATGTTACAAAATTGCAAATTCTATGAGTGAAAGACAAAATATATTAATTATTAACGAGTCAAAAGAAAACGGACTTTATATGCATTAAATAGTGACATATTTGACAAACTAATTGAAATAAATAATATTCATAAATTGAAAATATGTGATTGATACTTGTAACATTTCTAATGCAACCAAATACTTGAAACAGATTTAATAATAATAATCTTTTAATTTCAAAATCTTAATACAATTGCATTCAAATGCAACAATGTCATGTAGATGTTACCATCATAATATTAGATTTGTCGATTTCAAACATAGCATACAAATGCCTATATATGAAATACTCACATTATGTGATTGTATATAAAGTATTAAATAAATCATATTTCAGATATTACAAAGTGAAATATTTTTTAGAGAAAAAAGAATTAAGATTAAAAATTTCCCATTTTCTTTTTCTATTTTTTAATTTTTTTAATTTTTTTATTTATTTTTTTTTATTTTAAGTTAACCATAATTGCATACTTTTTAAGGCATATTAATTTTATATATATTCTCGCTCTTCTAGTTTCACTATAAATACTAATAATGCAAAATGATGGTAACGCAAGTTGAAAAACTATATTATTATAAATCATATTATGCCATATCATTATGTTACAAAAATTAACATTGCAAAAAAAGATTATTAAAATTTAAATAAGTTACATAGTAACCGCTACCGAAGTATTTTCCTACTATCTAAGTACTTAAATTAAAAAATATTTCTCTTTGCACTACTACTTCAAAGATTAAAAAAAATGCATTAGATTACGTATAATAACAATAAAACATAAAAGAAATTAGAAGAGCGATTTTTCGTTTAATTCTTATTTTATTAGCTATTTGAAGCAGCTCAGAATTTCATATATAATTATATTCTTTCTTTTACTTCTTTTTTTTGTGAGTTCTATTTTGTATGTTTTAAGAAAAATTTAAGCGACTCGATATCAAGTACAGAGCAATTTGTAGAATATTTATTTTTATAGATAATTTGTAATTAATTTATGCGCACTGTACTACAATTGTAAAATGATTGACATATTAAAAAAATTAAATTCTTTTTAAAATAATTCTCAAGTATGTTATACAATCACATAGTAAAAATGCATCAACAAAAAAGTACTTTATACGAATACACGATGAAATATTTGTTATTAGATGAATTCAACTGACTTATGTTTTAGTAATATCCATTGGTGACCCGCCACTTGCATTTGTAGCTGTGTTAGTGGCAATTGGTGGACCACTTGGACTTACAATAGTTGGTGGAATTGCAGGCTTAATAAATCTATCCGATGTGCGTCTATTGGATGATGTTATCACGTGACCCTGTTTAAATATTATTAAATATTTCAAATTTATACAATATTCAAATGTTTCATATGTTAGATATTTCCGATAAAATATTTAAATGTTACTTGATATATTAAGGAACTACAATAAAATATAACTTACAGTGGAAGGTGGCGATGAACTTGCAAATGGAATTGTAGTAGGTTGACCACAAGCATAACATCGATTTGTATTAAATCCCTCTCTGTTTGATGAACCTACTCATAAATAACATTGATGAATAATGTATGATTAAATAATATGTACGAAAAAGATTATCAAAACATAAAAATGATTTTTTCTATCTTCATACAAAATTAATATTATAATGTTTAATACCTGGACTTAGTGGTCTAGAGGAACTAGGTGAAGGATTATAGGGTACTGGGCTAGAAACAGTACGATTTCTTATATTTCCACCAGACATCACAATTTCATTGTAGTGCCGTTCTTCTTCCATTTCCAAACTAACAAATAGATGAAGTTTGCAATTAAACTAAAATATATGTACAATTTATACAATATAATTATTTACCTAGACTCTGATTCAGAAAGATGTCTACATAAAGCTTCACGACG